TATAAGTTTTGAATACTTTAAATTATTAGTTATTACTTTGATTATGGTATGGTAATTTGGAAATATTTAATAAATTGACCCAGATAACACACTTTTCTTTTTATGCTGTCCAAAAAGAAACACAGCCATATAAAATAGAAGGTAGGAGTATAAAATTGAAAAAGAGGGGAAAAGTGGAATCAAGATTTGTGCGGTCACGCTTGATTATTCTCAATCGGGGCTAGTGGATTCGAGGGTTACGTAACAAAATTTCACATTTATTCAGCTATAAATAGAAAGGGCGAGCCAAATGGCTGAAGAGGAAGTGAATTATTGCCTGTGAAGAGGAAGAAGAGGAGGAGGGTATGTCAATGGAGGAAGCGAATAACAATAATGAATCTCCTTACATTTCTTCTGTGTTGCCTGGATGGTTCTCTGAGATTAGCCCTCTTTGGCCTGGTTCGTCTCTTTACTTTTTCCTCTATGCATCTACATTATTTTATTTATGTTATGCATTTCGTATTAGACCCAGATAAAGAAAAAAGACAAGTTGATTTATGATAAATTCTTACAAAATTGTATAACCGAATGGATATTGAGGATTCATATGAGCCATCCCAACTAGTTTAAGATTGAGGTGTACTGTAGTTGTTGTTTATAAATCTAAGTGCTCGCATTATACTTTCTTCTGTGTATTTTAGAAATGTGATACCTCTGTTTTTTCGTGATTGTCTTGCAATTTTCTTTTTTGTCATTTTTGGTAGGAATTTAGTAGGTACGTATAAAGGCAACGGGTGAACTTTGTATGTATACTGCTTATGTTGGATCGGTTTTGGTTCTGTATCCACTTACACATATTTAACTAACTGATTTTGGAACGTAAGCCTCTGTTCTTTGCAGAGGCGGAGCAAGGAATTGAAGTTTTTGAGTCCTGATTGCCATTGAACCCATAACTCGTTTTAGTTGCCGGGTATATTTACACATATGTAATAATTTTTTTAATACTAATACAGGATCTAAGCAAAAGTTATTGGGTTCGTCCGAATCCATACCTAATATTGTAGCTCCGCCGCTGGTTCTTTGGTGATTGTTTGCAGTTGCCTTTTGTCATAGTTCTGTGTTTGTCAGCTTTGATTAATTAGTAGTTTTCCTTTGTTCCTTTTTGTTTCTGGTCCTTCAGATTCATCAACTTACTGCAACAACTAGCCTGAACTCGGCTATATTTGCGAATCTCACATAGGTGGAGTTGTTTTCACTCTGCCGACTACAAACATATCCTATATGACGAATTCACGCTCATCAATTTTCATTCCTCTACTATATATATATATATATATATATATGATTTTCGTTTTTTTTATAAGGTAAGATTTTATTAAAAAGGTACCAAGATGGTACAAGTTACATAAGTCCAACATCTGCCACTAACATGGCAACTACAAATCTCCTATCTCTTCTAAAAGTCCAAGTAGTGCTCCATAGTTTCAATAATACTTCTATTACACTGAAAATACAAGTTCAAAACACAGCTACTTATAATTCTGAAAACATGTTGTCTTCTCCCTTCAAAATAAACACTATTTCTTTCCAGCCATATTTGTCCATAAAATACACAAAGGAATTGTCCTCCATACTGCTTGTTTCCTTTTTGCCATTTTCTGAGATGCCATTGTTCCAACAAGCTCTTAACACTGTTAGGCATTACCCACTTAACGCTGTACATGTTTAAAAAGAGCTCCCAACACTGTTTTGCCACCTTGCAATGAATAAAGAGATGACTGACTGTCTTTATTTCTTCTTCACACATGTAACATCTGTTGCTTAGAGAAAATCCTCATTTGCTTAAAGATCGTTTAGCATATTTTTGTTAACACTTCTTGAATTCTTAGCTTCGGGGTCATAATAAGTCACATCGGTGTGTAGTCTGTACCTAGGTTGAGAAATGCTCGTTAATCTATTATGAAGATGATGTCTTAACGTTCTTATAATTTCCATAATTATAAGACAGTTTCTAAGTTGGAAATATATGCAGGGGAAGCACACTCATTGAAGGTTGAAAAGATATTATTTCAGGGGAAGTCAGATTACCAAAATGTCATGGTTTTTCAGGTATTTGCATGATGCATTAAGGTTTGAGTTTGCTCCTCTCATTCATTGATGAAATGTATGCTCTCTAATTTGATGCTTATTGTGTAATTTATTTTTGCTGCAGTCATCAACTTATGGAAAGGTGCTTGTTTTGGATGGTGTGATACAACTCACAGAGCGAGATGAATGTGCTTACCAAGAAATGATCACTCATCTCCCACTCTGCTCAATTCCAAACCCCAGAAAGGTCAATTATCTTAATACTAGTGAATTTAACATTTCAGTGTAAATTAGAAAATCTTAAGGGATTAAGTATATTTGATCTTTATGAAGTGTCAATTTTGAGTTTTTTTGCACTTTGCTAGTTGCCATTGACAATGGCACATCTGCTTCTTACTTTGTAGATAAGAAGTATAATGTGTGTGATCAAGGCGCACTTGTCATATCTTGCAAAGAACAGATATAAACACAAACTTCTTTTCTCTTAAACTTACTATATATGATAATTCTTGCATCCTATTTTCTGTGGCTTTGCCTAGTAATTTCATTTTATAGTAAGTCAATAAGCATGTTGGTATGTGCTATCTTCTTGGTTTTGCGACGGGTTATGTTAAAAGGGAAGGAGAACTTGTAAGCAGGAAAATTGTCATCCTTTAGTTGCCTTCTTAATATAACTTGTATTGTTTCAATGTGAGTTGTGATACCACTGTGAATCATGCATGCAGTAAATGCTGTATTCATCCTTATTTTTGCAAAAAGCTATTTTATGAAATTAGAGATTAGTGTCTTCCACTAGTGTGTCACACTTCAAGTTTGATTCTCTTACTTCAGGTGTTGGTTATTGGAGGAGGCGATGGTGGTGTCTTGCGTGAGGTGTCTCGGCATTCTTCTGTTGAACAGATAGACATATGTGAGATTGACAAGATGGTAATTGATGTAAGTCTGCTGGCTTCTTCATGCTCAAAACTGAAGTTGTACTTTGATTCCTTTTTTCTTCTTCTCTTATCTGCACTAAGGGTAAAGAAAAATTGTTGAATTTGGCAAGTTTAAAGATTGCATTCCTGTGTTTTCCAGTACCCTGTGGCATATTTGGCCTTGATACTGCCAAAAATTACCCCTTTCTATGATAGTTAAATGTCTTTAATGTTTTGATCCCTGTAGTTCATTGCCCATAGTTTCCTCGAAGCATTGCTAAAGAAAAAGAGGCAACGATCTCATGATTCCTTTTTCTATTTTTCAGGTCGCTAAACAATTTTTCCCTAATGTAGCAATAGGATATGAGGATCCCCGGGTTAAACTCCATGTTGGTGATGGTATGATCTGAGAAAATGACAAAACTAATTCCTTTTTGTTGTTTTTTTTCTTTTCGCATTTATCAATTACCTGTTCACGGGCTTTCCTTTTTTCGCTCCCATTTCTACAGGAGTTGCATTTTTGAAAAATGTTCCAGAAGGAACTTATGATGCTGTTATAGTGGATTCCTCTGACCCCATAGGTAATCTATTTACTTTCCTATTGCCTCTGTCGCAGAAATTTCATCTCTTAAGTTACTCTTCCTTTAACTCCAGGTCCAGCCCAAGAGTTGTTCGAAAAGCCTTTCTTTGAAACAGTAGCAAGGGCTCTTCGTCCTGGAGGGGTTGTCTGTACACAGGCGGAAAGCATATGGCTTCACATGGATATAATTGAGCATATTGTAGCAAACTGCCGCCAGATCTTCAAAGGCTCAGTCAACTATGCCTGGACCACAGTTCCTACTTATCCAAGGTACACTTTGCAAGATATTTGCTGATATGTATGCATTATTTTGTTATTCCTTTTTTTTTTCCACAGTGGGGCTTGAAATTGTCGTTATTCTGGTGTAATAATTCATGACTTTTCATGTCTTTTTTTTTTTCTGGTTTATTTTGGGTGGTGGTGGTTACTGAGAATACCTACTGTTGACATACTGGATACTCTGCTGCAGTACTGATCCCCATTTGGGCCGTTTGCCTGTCTTTTATTTCAGTGGTGTTATTGGTTTCATGCTCTGCTCCACTGAGGGACCTTCTCTTGATTTCAAGAATCCTACCAACCCCATTGACGCTGATGATAGCCACACCAAAACTAGAGGACCCTTGAAGTTCTACAACTCTGAGGTATGATGTCATTCTGCTCTCTGGTATTCTCTTTTCCAATGCCAATGTCGGGCAAAAGGACTCACTTCTCTAGTACTTACTGTGCCTTTGATTTTGCACCCCCTCCCCCCCTCCCCCAGATTCACTCTGCATCGTTCTGTTTGCCATCTTTTGCGAAGAGGGTGATTGAATCCAAAGGAAAATGAGTCCTCAGCGGAGCGGAGGATTAGCTGTGTTAGAACACCTCATTCCTGCCCTATGCAAGACAGGATCATCTAGCATTGGAATTTTTATGTTTAATTTGATGCTGTGACTGGGCAGTTGGAAGAGCTATGATCCACAATGGCTTATAAATGTCTTGTTCCTGTTCTAGTTGTAATAATCATCCTTTAACCCAATCTTGAGTTCAATGATTGACATTTTTTGCCGGAGTATATTGCATCTCTTTCTCTCCATTCGTGATTCCACTATTATATGGAAATGTATTGGTTTGGCCAAGCTCTCAAGATTTGCTTATATTGAGAAATAAAAATAGGGCAAAGGGTCAAATTACCCCTCTACTATTGTTTATTGGTTATTTGTGCCATCCGTTACACTTTTGGCCATTCTCGTCCCTACCGTTAATGAAATTTGAAAAAATACCCTAACCATAACGTTTTGACAATGTGGCAACTGACCATATCAATTTTATCCAAGTCAGTTGCCATGTCAGTTGTCGTGTCAGCAGAACCACCAAATTAAAATCCCTGAACACTTATTTTTTTCCCGTCTCCCACGAATTAGGGCTCAGACGACCCCAATCCTTTTCCTGAGTCTTCAATGTCGCAAGGAAGCTGTTCTTCTCAAATTAAGTGTCGTTGTGGCATCTTTGCAAACCACTTCACTTCAACGACTCCACTAAACCCTGGAAGGCGATTTTTTAAATGTCCGAAGCCTAAGGTTAGTGATTGTGTAACAAAAGCTCTAAATTATTATCTGTTTGCTCTAAATTATAGTCTAATAATAACGATCTTAGTTTCTTCTCTGGTTTTTTTGTCTTCAACAAAATCGTTCTTGTGGTTATTTTGAATGGGAAGATGAAATCTCGTTGAACAGTGATTTGGTTACAACTAAAGATGTAACATCGTCTTGGGAAGCGATTAAAAATGATAGGGATAAATTGAAAGAAGAATTAATTGCCATGGAGGCTCTACACAAAGCTAAGGCTGCAAAAGTAATTAAACTGGAAGAGAAGATTTTGGAGACGAGGATGATGCTTATGATCTCATGGGCACTCTTTGTTGGATTTGTTGCGGCGTCGATGATGAAGTGAATGTTGGTAAATCTTGTTGATGATGCTAATAAATATGTTTTGTTGTCAGTTTTATTCTCGTTGAAATTGGAAGAGAAGGTATTATGTATGTTATTTTGAACCGTTTACATTAGAGCTTGTAATCTTAGTTAATATAATTCCAATATATTAGTTATCAAAAATTAGTTAATGTAATTCCAATATATGAGCTTGTAGCGGTTTACATTAGAGCTTATATTAGTTAATGTAATCTTAAAAGGTGTCAGTTCTTTTGTGATGAACCTGCTATATTATTAGTTGATGTTATGGGTTGATGAACATAGCAGTTATGTCAAAAAATATGGACAAAATCACAACACCATTTTGGTCCAAAATCTGGACAGTTTCACAATACCATTTGGTCCAAATCTGGACAGTTTCACAACACCAGTTAGTTCAAAATCTGGACAGTTTCACAACAATATCTTGGTCCAAAATCTGGACAGTTTCACAAAACAATTTTTAAACAAAATCCGGACAGTTTCACAAATTGTATGTATTTAAGGGGTTGGACAATGATTAACAATGAAAGGAACATTTAAATTCATAAACTCCCATTTCATTCATCAGAAGGGGATGCCACATTATCACCCCCAAAACTTACACAAACAAGTGACAACGTGACATCAAGTTTCCCCAACTAAACATTCAAACTACATTAAACCACAAACAAAGGGATGTCACATTATCACCCCAAAAACTTACACAACTAGGTGATAACATGGCATCTGAGTGAACAGGTCACTAACTAAACAGCCACACAAGTTTAAGAAGTTTACTTGGCTAATAGTAATTACATCACAACCAAAAATATACAACCATAATAGAGTTTAGTAGATCCACATTCCAGAACACCAGATTTCTTTAAGTCTGCTTCTTCCCATTACCCTTCTTTGCTTTCAACTTGGCCAATCTTTGCTTGTTAAGCTGGTTACTAGTAATAGCAGTTTCCCCTTCCATTGCAGCTTCTTTGGTGAGAATGGTAGGTTTGATGGCTCACTCACACCACTGGCATCACCAACAAATCCGACTGCTCCCTTGTTCCAATTGTTGTACTTTGTAGTTGCCTCAATTGTAGCCTAGTCTTTGCCTCAGAGATACTTCTTGGCCTTATAGCTATTTTAGGCTCAGGCTCGGGGTCAAAGTCTAGGTAGTCGAAGTCTGGAAAGGCACTGCAGCTTGGTTCTTTCCTTTGCACTGAAGGGGTTGGCATGAACAACAAGTTGCTAGATTGACTTGTTTGAGTATGCTGACTTGGCTGAGGGGCTGACAAAGGAATTTTCTCATCAGTGGCTTCTTGTGGCACTGGTGCAGGAGAGGGAGATCTGGGTTGTTCATCATCAGCTTCATCAAGTAAAGTTCTCTTCCTCTTTGTCTGCTGCCCCTTCTTCTTTCCTCCAATGGGCTGCTTTCCTTTAGAATGCTGTTAGTAAGACAGAAAGTTTTGATAAGATGTTGAAACAGAAAGAATGATAGAAAAAGTTATGGTATTGATTACCTTTGCACACCCTCTAGCATTGTGTCCAGGTTCACCATAATTTTTACATGTCATTACCCTCCCTTTCCTTGACTAAGACCATTGTCCTTGCCTATTAATTTCCTCATTTTTTTCTCTTGTTCGCTTAACCTTTGGTCTCCCAGTCATCTTTACCAAAGGAGGTGGAGCCATGTATTGTGAAGGGTCAATTTTTCAGAACTTTTCTCCTCTTACTAGTTGTAACTTATGTGAATAAGTTTGGTGATAAGTCTCTTTGGTAAGGTACCAATGAATCTGACTTAGAGGGTCCACTTTCTTGTGCAATAATGCACAGATTGCATGAGGACATGGAATGCCACAAAAATCCCATGCCCTGCAGGTGCATTTCTTTAACCTCAGATTCACAATGTGCCTGTCACTGCTTTCAGTCACTTCATATCCATTGTCTGCACTGCCATTAACATGACACTTCAATGCAATCCTCATGAATTGGTTGTACAACTCCATGGTTTTAGGACTGTACTCATTTCCCCATGTCATCACCTCAGCTTCACGTTCATTAATCATATTCATCACCTTGATTCTAATATCCTTAAGCATCTTAATAATTGGCTTGTGCCTTGCTTGCAAGATCCATGCATTGAATGACTCAGTCAAGTTGTTGTCTACAGACTGGTTCTTGCAAACAGTATCAAAGAATGTCCTACTCCAACATTTTGGTGGACACTTCAACAAATCCTCAACAGCTTCCTTTCCATCATCATCTACTTGACTCTTATTCTTGATCTGATCTTTGAAGTCCTCTTCATAAGTACTCCATGCAGCCCACCAAAGGTATTTTTTGAAATCACCAGAACCCCATCTCTTACACCAATTTGCTTCTATATGTCTTACACAAAATCTGAAGTGTGACTCGGGAAGAACAGTTTGGATTGATTCAATCAACCCCTACAAATATCAGTAAATATCATCAGATAACAGTGCAAAGAAACTAACAAAACAACTGAAAATAACAGTACAAATAAACAGTACATACTGCATATCTGATATAAATGTGACCCCTTCACCTATTTTGAGGTCTAGTGAAGTCTGTAGGTGATCTAAGAACCACTTCCAAGTAAGTTTTGTTTCTTTTTCAACTATAGCCCAAGCCAATGGATAAAAATGATTGGCAGAATCTTGACCAACAGCCACCAACAGCTGACCTTTAGCCTTCCCTTTCAAAAATGTTCCATCCAATCCAATGAAAGGTCTCAAACCACTCTTAAACCTAGACTTCATAGCTTGAAAACAAATATACATCCTTAAAAATCTCCTTTTGCCTTCTTCAAGAGCATCTTTTGATAAGTTAATTATCACATCACTCCCAGGATTGCTAAGTTTTAATTCATTGGCATAGGCAACAAGCTTATTATATTCATCTGTAAAACTGCCTTCAAGTTTCTCCAAAATCATTTTGTTTGCCCTTTTGCACTTAGATTCACTAACATTTACATTATATGCAGCTTTCAAGCTTGCCCTCATCTCTCTAACCTTAATTTTGGGGTTATCTTGCAAGCCTTTTTTAAAGTAAGCAGCTATTGTATTTGCATCAACTCTTTGATTTTCAAATGCAGGTTCACATGTGTGCTTAGGCTCTAAAGTCTTGAATTTAACCCCACCCCCTGAAGAATCCTTAGATATATGGCAAACAAAGGGGAAGTCACCAACATAGATGTACCTAAGCCTTGTTGGGTCACTTTTAACTTGCTGCAAGTCATATCCATTTGCAAGAGAATATATGTTGATCATTTTCCTAGCTTCAGGTATATCTTTAAATGTCATTGACCTATCTAACTCTTTATAGTCAGTTAACTTATCATTGATGTCCCTCCTCTTTTGTAAAAAAAGTTGCTCCAATTCATCAGAACTTAATTCAGGAGAATCAGAATCATTTTCCTCACTATCATTATCATTATAATCAGAAGCAGCTTCAACTTCTACTGTGTGTGACTCACCGTGGGTGACTATATTAGGTACATCAATTGTTGGTTCACACTCTTCTACAACAAACAAATTAATGACTTTACATTGTTCACTAACAAAGTCCAATAGAGTCCTAATTCCAACATCCCCATCTATTTCATAATATACTAGCAGGACCCTTTACTATTAATTGCTGCACTCCTATATACCCAAACTTGGTATCAAATTCATCAACTAAATCAGCAGAAGAGAGCAAGTCAGAGTCAAAACCTTTATTGATGTGCATATACTTCTCTTTATACATCAGACGTAGCTTACTAGTCCATTTCCCACCATGATGAAAAACTAACTCAACTAGCACCATCTATAAAAGGCTACATAGTAACCATGAATAAAGTTATTACAGCCAATCATAGTAAATGCATAAAGAAGTAACAAAGACAAGAGGTACAGAAATAATAAATAAACATGTAAGGAAAAGCTTGAATAAAAAAAAACAGTTTGATAAATAAAGGAAATAAGGAAAAGGTACAGAGGTAGATGAATAAAGAAATAAAATTGAATGAGGTACTATGATAAAGAAATGGATACAAGCATGCATATGGGGGACCATATAATAAAGTATCAAACTTAGAGTCCCACCTCAATAAAATAAGGACAAAACATATATGTAAGAGATCCACATGAGCATCATCTTCAAAGTAAATGCAGGTGAAACAGGGGACCAAATAACAACAAGTCAGCTATTAACAAATAGCTCAAATCCTTTTTCAGTTAAAAAAACCCTAACCGACCCTGCTTTAAAAAAACAAAAGGGACCACACATACTTGAAATCCTAAACAAGAGAAAGTTCTTCTAAAATAAGTACCAAATATCATCAATTCCACCAGTATACCCTAACCGACCAATAAAATCAGACAAATAATTAGGGTATAAAGGTGAAAGTCACATGCAAACACAAACAACGACAAAAATACAGTCAAAGAAAAACCCTAAACGACAAATCACATATCTGAGACAAGAAAAATCCTAAACCACGAAGCATAGTCTAAAAACCCTAACTTTAACATAAAAGAAATGCGAACCCTAATACAAAAAAGCTTCATTTATAAACAACAAGCATATGAAACTAGTAGAAAAGTTCAGATTTTGGGGGAAAATCTTACCTTGGACAACATTCAACACTGAAAAACGAGGATTTTCTTTGGAACCTTCCACACTCTTCTCTCGTTTCTATCGAACGGATGCAGACCAAATGACCCTCTTTCTTAATTTGGACAGTTCTATCTTATTTATTTAGTGGGCAAACGGGTCACGGGTGGGAGACGGGAAAGAAATGGGTGTTCAGGGGTTTTAATTTGGTGGGACCGCTGACATGGCAGTTGACTTGCATAAAATAGATGTGGCCAGCTGCCACTGTGTCAAAACGTTAGGGTTAGGGGTATTTTTTCAAACTTCATTAATGGCAGGGACGAGAATGGCTGAAAAGTGTAACGGGTGGCACAAACAACCAATAAACAATAGTGGAGGGACAATTTTGACCCTTTTCCCATAAAAATATTATGTCAAAATGGATGTTCGGATAAGTATTTGGGAGATTAACAATTGTTTGTAGCCAATATCTTCAAGAAATGTTTTTGGATCAATATCGCCCTTCCTAGTGGATGAGTGGATTACACTTATCAAGGACCAATCCTGTTGAAATCAAAATTTTCAATAATCAACAAATGTTGAAGAATTCTTTTATAAAAAAATGTTCTCTTGAAATTTCTAACTATTCCACATGAAACTTCCAAGAACCAAATCGTTTCACTGTGAGATTCCAAAAGTTGCTAATCTATTTCCTTCCTGTAGAATAACAAATGGGCGCTTCTTTGTTCCCTGAATTAGAGCAAGACCTATTTCTAGCCAAGCATTACAAAGATATCAATTAATGTAACCTCAACATGTGGAATAAGAATCATACATTAAGATTTAAGATATTAATACCCAAAAGAGTTTCCTTAAAAGAGGACAGAGTGTTCAATTTATACTATAGTAACATCATTCCTATATAATAACACTTCACTATAAAAGCCAAACTTTTCTGGAACTAATTTTCAGGTTATGTTATAATATATGTTCTATATAACAGCACTTCACTATAACATCCACAAATATTCGGAACAAATAAGGCTGTTATAAAGAGATTTGACTGTATATAATCCACGAATGACATCCCTGCGTTCATTGAACTCAAGGAATGCATAACCTGGGGATTTCTTGCAACCCAACACACTGCTTGGACAACTCTTCTCATCAGAACTCAGATATGTCAAAAGTGTGTATTTAGAGGAAAATGCTTTACAAGTTTTATACACATGTGTCGATGCCCCCTTTTTCTTCTTAAAGGCGAAATCGGGTTTACGACATTTGGGAGGACAACTCTTTTCCCTTTTGGGGTTTGGGTTTTGTTTTGGAATTTGAAGAGTCGCCACCTAATGATTAAGTGCATTAGGACACAAAAAAGGGTATTTGAGTTTGAAAACCAGAATTTGGGTAAGGGCTAGAAATTATCTCGAGGGGAAGGTATTAGGCACCCCCCAAGATCCACTAGTGTGGTTCCCGGCCATGTTACAATTGTGACTTCACTTAACAAGTAAGCAAATAAGGATTCAAATAGAGGGAGTTTTCACATAATATTGCAAGTAAAATGAAAATTTGAGGAGAGATAAAGAGGGCACAAATTTCAATAAAAGATTTAAACAATAAATGAAAAAAAAAAAAGCAAATAAAGGGAAAGGAGGGTCCTAGGTTTATAATCAATATGGATCACCCCACACAACACCCGGTAACCGTTTATACACGTGGTGTTATCGCGTGGTCATCATATCCATATTCTACCCTTCCCACCCCATAAAGGTTATTAAACGCGTGAGTTGGTAACGAATACTTATTGCGTGCTATTACCCGTCCCGTCCTATAAGTCCCAGAGGGTATTTAGGACCACTATTCCTACGTGGTGGGGACTAGGCTGAACCCTTAAGTTTAAAGGCAAAAATGCTAAGCGACATACATAACAAATATGACTGCACATAAGGGGAACATACAAAGGCACATAGAGGCTCACAGATCCCTCCACAAGTGAACTCATAATTAGCACGTCTCAAACGCATTTAAGGTCTCAAAGACAAGAGTTTTAAAAGCCGGAATGTTGAAATAAAACAGTGAGTTTTAGTGAAAGCAGAAGCTTAATTAAGACTAAGTGATTTGAAAAAATGCTCGATTTTCAGAAATACGACGTGGGACAGTAGTAGGATTTAGAAGTATACAGCAGTTTAGGAGTTAGTAAAAATATAGATAAAATCGTTAAAACATTCTTTGTAAATAGAGTTAAGACATGGAGATTGTAACACCCCGTAAATTCGGCTTAGGTGTGAATGTGGTAAATGAGTGGTAAAGTTATATTCTGAACATGTGAATTCCCAACGGGATGATTGTGGGTAAAATTGTCTCAAAAATCAAGATGGAAAGAGAGGTGCATAAGATTTGACAAAATCGACTAAGTTTGCAGAAGGTCCGTCTTCCATCAAGTTTTAATGAAAATGTGTAAGGAATTGGGGAAAATGAAAAGCATGAAAGTTGTAGGCCTATGAAGTAGCTTTCCAACGATATATTATGGAGCCTGAACAGATCTTTGTGCAAAAAGTTATGTGCGTTTTTCAGAACAGTACGCGTATGCGCGCCCGGTAGCGCGACCACTAGCGCGAACAAGCCTCCAGGTGCGCGATCGCGCTAGTGGGAGGCAGCGTTACTGCAGTTTAGCGCGACCACTAGCGCGAACAAGCCTCCAGGTGCACGAACGCGCTAGTGGGGTGTCACGACCCCAGTTCACCCTCCATGAACATGACGTGATGGCACCTAGTTCCTACAACTAGGTAAGCCTAACAATGTGGAAGTTAACATAAATTGCGGAAACATTAAATTAAATTTAGCAAAACTAAAAGGAACGGTATATAAGTGCCACTTGGCATATACAACCCAAAAGTAAAACGCGGAAGTCTACAATTTCATCCGAAAACCCGGAAACTCACGGGAACCATAGGCTAATAGAAATGTAATATGCTGCTCTAACTCCAGAATGTCTAAACAACTGAAAGAAAAGGATAGGGTAATTACTAAAGCTAGAACAGAATAGAGACTCCTGGTCTGCGGACGCGGCAGATATACCTTAAAGTCTCCGCTAGATCTCTCCGCCTCGAGGATAGTACGCCCGAGTGGAGGTACCTGGGTCTGCACAAGAAAAACATGCGCAGAAGGGGCATGAGTACACCACGGCGGTACTCAGTGAGTGCCAAGCCTAACCTCGGTTGGTAGTGACGAGGAAGGTCAGGGCCCTACTGTGGTTAAACAATATAATATGAATTAACAGTATGAAAATAGGCAGTAATAATGAGTATAGCAATAGAATAAGACAGGCTAAACAAAACAATAACAATTACACAAGGAACGGAGTAAACACGAAATATGTACATCTCAATACCAATGGTAACAATGAGGATCTCCCAGGATACCGTCCCGTAGTCCTTTTCTCAACTGTCCAGTGGATCTCCCGGGATACCGTCCCGTAGTCCATCATATGTATATATCCGAGGGATCTCCCGGGATATCGTCCCATAGTCCAACTATCAATGTGAGGGGGGGGGGGAATCTATCGGGAATCTAACCCGCAGTCCCAAAGTAAATATGCAGGGGGATCTATCGGGAATCGAACCCGCAGTCCCAAAGTAAATATGCAGGGGATCTATCGGGAATCGAACCCGCAGTCCCAAAGTAAACAAACAAGGGGGGAGCTACCGGAATCCCACATCCGTAGTCCAAATGTAAATACGCAGCCACAACAAGAAGATATTCAGAACTAGAGTACAAGAATATACAAGGCAACAAGTAGTTCTAGCCTAACATGCTTCACGTAGTACAATCAAGGCAACTTAAGCAAATAGGCAATTTAGGTCAGCTAAGCATGCTTTTCTAAACTAACACAGGCTATAATTGCAAGTAGAATAAAGCAGGTAAGAAAGAAACTCAGTCTAAACATTTAAAGTAAAACCGGGTTTTTCAACAATTAGCTCAAGTACGCGCTCGTCACCTCACGCACAAGGCATTCAATTACCAATATCATATCCTAAGGGGAAAGGTCCCCCACACAAGGTTAGACAAGCCACTTACCTCGAACCGGCTCAATATCAACTAGAAACCACCCCTTTGCCACGAGTATCCGACTCCAAATGGCCCAAATATATTCATTTTAATTACATCTCGTAAATAACATCTCAAGCAACTGATTCTACTATTCAATTTGAAGCTAAGACGCAAATTTAGAT